CTCCCCTGCCCACCTGTCTTCAGGCCAACCGGGTGAGGACAAAGGTTTGCTTTTAGCACCACCCTTTTCCCCAGCCTCCGATGCCTCAGTCAGTTCAGATTAGTCTGCCAAACTCCTCACTGCAGAGCTCCAGGCTACCGGAGGAGGCATGGCCCATGGCCAGGCCCAGGAGCTGTGAGTCTGATGCCACCATCTCACCCACTCCCCAGCTGGTCCTTGTCCCTGTGCCTCCGGCCCATTTATATTTGGGTCTGCTCCTCTGCTTATCCTTTGGCCAGAGAAATGAGAAGGGGTTCTTGACAGCCCTGGTGGGTGGCTCCTAAGCTTCTCTGGGAGATCTAGGCTTGGGCTGAGCAATCCTCCTGGGGGGCCACTGCTCACAGCTGTCTGGGAGAAGGGGGCCACTGAGACTCCTCTTCCGACCCCTCTGTGCGTTGAGGAATGCCCTTCCCCGACAAGCTATTTGCTCTCAGTGCTTATCACTGTGCCGAGAGACAGACCCCTCTGAGCTCTGCCCCAAGCTTCTGGCTTGAAGCCAGGGCAGAATTGGCACTGAAGATGCATGGGCAGGACTCGAGGGTTCCTTGTCCTTGGAATGGAATGTCTCCTTTGCAGTCTGCACTGGCCACAAGGCTCGAAGGGCGAAGATATAAAGAAGTGCAGTAGAGAGGGGGTAAGTGTATGGAGGCTGACTTCTCATTGCCCAGCAAGGGAGGGGCCCGGGCTGCCTGAATTCAGTGATTGTTAGCTTCTAGGTCACTAGGAAACCTGAGTGAGTGCCTCTTCTTGGGTGGGAGTGATGCATCTCCCTCCAGTCGCAGGCTACCTGTCAGGACCCAGCATCCCCAGGAGACAAGCTATGCTTGGAACTGAGTCCTCTCTACCCACGGGCTGTTTACCTGCTGCTTCATGCTAAGTCCCCTGGGTGGCCTGGGCATTACTTCCTGGTGGCTGGATTCAGGGCCCCTTTAGTGGTCTGATCTCCCAGAACTTCTCAGCCCCAGCCCGTGTGTTTACAGACACTACTGAGTAAATACAATCAGCAATACCACAAGCTGTTCAAGGACATCCCCTTGGAGGAGGTGGTTCTCAAAGGTGAGCTGTCTCCCTGGTGTGCCTGGACAGGCGCCTGTAGTGCCCGAGGCCCAGGTCCCATCCTCTGGAGCCTCCAAGGCACACTTTAGAAATGTTAACTGGCTGTCCTTTGGGTGTAGTTGGTCCCTTTTCCTTCAAAAGTGCGAGAAGACTGGGCTAGTTTGGGGATATAAAGTTGAATTTGTAAAGATTTTCTTGAGAAAATGTCAGGGCTTCCAACTCTTATTTCTGTTCTGCTCTTATCAGTGGCTATTCTTTCCTGCCGAGGCCTCTCACAGAGCATGTGGGAGCATTTGCACAACCAAGGCCCTCCCTGCAGGCAGAGCAGGGGATTCTGCCTGAGAGGGTGAGAATCCAGGCTTGGGGGACCAGGGCAGAAACTTAGCAATCTTCTGGGGTAGGGACAGTCAGGATTCTCAGGAAAGGATTTTTGGGTTTTTGGGGGTCCTGGGGGATGGATTGTTTGAGAAGTGAGGTTCTAAGGAAGACGGTCTTTGAGGCTGGACTCTGGACTCCTCTGAGTGTGAGGACCCAGGCCCTGGGGCTTCCCAACTGACCTCGCTCATGGCAGTCTTCTCTCCTGTGACTTCCCAGTGTGCTCCTGTGCCCTGCAGAGGGACCTCCTTCTCCAGGGCCGGCTCTACATCTCCCCCAACTGGCTCTGCTTCCATGCCAGCCTCTTTGGCAAGGATATCAAGGTAGTAATGAGTGGGAAGGGCTGCCATAGCCCGTAAGACCCTGCCCCAGCCCAGGGAAGAGACAGCCCCCTGCCCTGTGGGCTTGCCTAGAGTCATGCCCGTCCCTCTGGTGAAGCCTCTCACTGGTTGGATGAGCAGCTGTGAGGCATCCCACCTGGTGTCAACGCTGTCTCTTTCAAAAGAGGGGCCCCACGTCTAGACTCTACATCTGGCCTGAGTTGGCCTAAACAATTCACAGCCAAATTATTCTTCTTACAAATTGCCTTCAGAATCAGAGTGGGATGTCACACTTAGGGGAAATCATAAGTGTGGCCAGGAGATAGCTAAGGGAACTCCATTACTAGAGTATGGGATTCCCCACAGGCAACCATCCTTGGCCTCCTGGATAACGGGGTAAAAGCCTGGAGTGGTGTGTGCTGCCCAGGCTGGGCAGGGTGGTGGAGATAACTGGAAGGGGAGCCTGCATGAGAAGGGGAGGTTCAGATACTCTCCTACATGCATCCCGGCTTCTTCATGGTACTTGTGCTTGGCTCCCTGCAAGCTGAGGATGGGGCCCTATGCTGGAAGCAAAGGGACCAAGTCCTTGGTCACGAGTACTGAGAGGATCACACCTCTTTGCCCTCAGGTGGTCATTCCCCTGCTGTCTGTGCAAATGATCAAAAAACACAAGATGGCACGGCTCTTTCCCAATGGCCTGGCCATCACCACCAATACCAGCCAGAAGGTCAGTGAGTCTCTGGGCCACATTCCCTTGTCAGTCTCTGCACCCCAGCCCCAGGAGCCCACAGCCTGACTCCGGCAGACTCTCAAGTCTTAAATTACCCCACCCCTTTCTGTTTTCTTTCCATATCCCAGTATGTTTTTGTGTCACTGCTCTCCCGGGACAGTGTATATGACACGCTGAGGAGGGTCTGCACTCACCTACAGGTATGGAGCTCGGGGCAGGAGTTAGGCCAGGGAGGCTGCTCAGGCCCTGACTGAGGTCTTGGGACAAGGCTGTGGGGGGAGGTTGGCCCATCTCTTCAGCCCAGGAAACAGGGGCAGAGAGGGGGAAGTAACAGGCGACAGCTCAGTGTATCAGAGGCAGTCCTTGGACTGTGTGTCTGCATTTGCGAGCATGTCTCTTTGAGGCCAGTGGGCCCTTCTGTGTCCCGATGCATCACCCTCACTTGTGCTTCTTCAGCGTACAGACAGGAGCATGGGGCTGCTTCCCAGGATGCCTACAGCTCTCTCTGGCCTATGGTGAGGAAGGGAGGCGCAGCAGCATGGGAGAGTAGGTTGCTTTGGACTTGCCCCTCTGCTGCAGCATAAATGGGGCACCCCTGCAAACTCTGGGAGCTAGGCTCTATCCGACCCAAAATGGAGGTGAAGCTAGCTCTCTTCCAGAATGCTAACACAGTCCCATGCCTGACCTTGGCTGTTCCAGATAGACAAGTGACCCCTGTTCCCTTTCCTCCTCAGCCTTCCAGCAAGAAGAGTCTGAGTGTAAGAGAATTTCCAGAGGAACCCGAATGCGAGTCTCTGGTGAGAGCTGAGGCTGGGAGCCAAAGCTGCTGGCCTGAGACTGCTGAGGCTTCAGGGCCTCCCAGGCAGGGGTCCACAATGCAGCACTAAGGCACCAGGCTCAAGAGCCGGTGGCCATGCTGTGTCAGGGGGCCTCTTTGACCTGCCACACTCCATATCATGCAGAGCCACCAGGTCCTGGGCAGATTTGCTGACTTAATGAGCAGATCGGATGTCCAGCCCCGGAACACTGTCCGGGTTGGATCCCACACCTGTAATGGGCACAGAGCCAGAGACCTATATCCTCTTTCCTTTAACAGAGTCAGGAGGGCTTTTATGGGTCTAGAGATGTCCCTGGGGAAGAACTCCATAGACTATTAATATAGAACCCAGATAGACTTATTTTAGATTTGTCAAGGTCTCAACAGTTTCCTTTGGCAGCTGGGATTCTGGATAGGCAGAGCTGAATTTCTAGAATAGGGATGAAGTATGGAAATGACTCCAGGGTGTTTGAAGCTTTCTTCAGTAACTATTAAGCGGTTAGCCAAGCATGCAGTATGCACAACACAGTACAGGGAGATAGGAGGTAATGTTCCCATTTTCACTGATGGGGACTTTAAGTGCCCTCTGCCAAGATCAGTGATATTCTTAAGATTAGAGCCTCGATCAGAAGGAGTCGTGACTTATCCCATCTAAGATAGGTTGTGCCGAGCTTTCTCGGACTCAGCTGATCTGAGTATGTACCTGGGTTGGTTCACATCTACATTAGCAGTCTTCGAAGACATTGTTCCCTGTAAGAGTAGCCAGTCATAGCAAGGGAGCAGATAGGAGAGACATGTGGTTGCTATAGCAATGGTTCCTCCCGTCCCCGGTACCTGCTTCCATGCCTTGCTAGACATCCATGTTGGTAATATCTGGAGAAAGCTTTGATAAACCTGGTGTGGGCCCCTTAGGGCAAGTAAGATCCCAAGGGTCATGGTGAGAGAGCTTCTCTTGCCTTCTCTGCAGGAAGTCCTCATCCCCGAGATGAAGTGGAGAAAAGTGTGCCCTGCCTCCAGGACCCCGTTCCTCCAAGACAACATCCCTTCTATCCCTCGGGTGTCTGTGGACTCCATGGACAGCTTCCTCCCCTCCAGGAAACCTCCAGGGTCTGGTGAGTTCAGAGGGCTTGTCTATGGCAACTGCTTGCAAAGACCAGGCTTCTCCTCCTCCCACTTCTGTGAAAAGGGATCATCCCAGCCAGCAGGGCTTCTGAGAGCTGTTTCTTTCTCCAAATCCATAAAGGAAAGCCAAGAGCCCAAGCAGCTTCAGGGAGTGGCAGGAGGTGGGCATGCCCCACGCGGGGCTGGGGACCTGACTGCTCTCATTGCAGAGAATGCTGTCTGTGAGGAGGAGATGCTGGAGGAGGTGCCCAGAAGCAACCAGGAGCTGCAGCTCTGGGATTACCGGCTCCTCAAGGTCTTCTTCGTGCTGTAGGTGACTGTACCTGGGGAGGGGCAGACCCATCCGGGTGTCTGGGTGTTTGGAGCAGGAGACTTGGTGTGTGTGTGGGGGGGTCACTGTCCAGAATGAGGGGAAGATTCTGAGGCAACTGCAAGCTCCTGACAAAGTATCTCCAGTTTTTATTTTAATAACACTGTAATTTACAGTTAAGGCTCTGTGATGGAGAAGAGCGGGTATGACACTTCAGACAAGGAAATGTTACACAGGACTGGGGAGAGTGAGCATGGAGGGATGTTTCATGAACAGCCAGGCCCTGGCTTCCCCTCACCTTACCTCCTCTCCTTCCTTTGGCCCTGCTGGCTGGGCTTGACTGTCAGCTCAGCACTCACTGTGTGAACCGCCTACTGCTGTAGGGGCTAATCTCAGTGGTCTGACAAGGTGGCTGGCTGGTCAGAAGGAAGGTGGGCCTAGCTGAAGAACCCAGAACTCCTGCTGGGCTTTGAGGACCTCTCCATGGAGACGAGTCTCGGGACCCCCACGCAGCCTTTGGCATGAAAGAGCCCCAGGCTTGAACACGGCTGCGGGGCAGAGGTTCTGTAGTCCCTCTAGTTGCAAGCGTAGCTTAGTTCCCACTCCTACTTTGGGCGAGCCTCTAAAAATGCCCTTTTTCTAGAAGACCGATTCAACTCTTCTTGCCCCTTTTTCTCCAGGATCTGCTTCTTGATCATGTCCTCGTCCTATCTGGCATTCCGTATCTCCCAGCTGGAACAGCAGTTATGCTCCCTGAATTGGGATAGCCCAGTCCCTGGGCACAGGTGATGTCCCTTCTCTTCTCAATGCCTCTAGGATTCAGGGCTGACAGGGACCAAAACCTACAACTAGGCTGCTTGTCACCTTGGCTGCCCTAGGCAAGATGGCTTGATGGACCTAAGCAAAGTTGTGCAGAGTGTGCAGGGTGCACAGATCCCGCCCTGACCCACTCTCATGGGGTGGTGGAGAAGGCTTTACTGACCTGCCTGTCTGCCTTATAGGCCCTTTCTCTGATCTGGGTATCCCTTCTGTGTGTAGGTAACAGCTGCTTGGCCTTTGTCTCCATTCTTCCAAGAAGAACGCTCTGGGTGCTAATGTTCTATCAATGACCCCCTTGAGTTTATGTCGCTGCTGCGCTGGGACTGATTGTGAAGGAAAATATTCCAGAGCCCTCCTCCTTCGCCGACTCTTACCGCTCTCCCGAGTGATCTGAAGTACCTGTTTACAAAGCGCCTACAATTTTTGGACTCAGACAAAAAGCCAGATATTTTGGAACCAGCTGAGGAATTCTGTATACCAAGCTTCAGCAACCACTTGAATGAAAAAAAAAAATTAACGTGTTTCTTAGAAACAGTTTTGGCACACAGGAAGAGCACTAGGGGCCACCCCAAAGGACAGAAGCCATGCTTTGATATCTGGAATGCGGCTCCCTGACTGTCACATGGCTCACTCCAGTGGTGGGACAGAGGCCAGAACCCAAACCACCAGTGTAGGCTCTGCCCTCTTCCCACATACTGAGAGTCCCTGTTCTGGGGCCTAAAGGGCTACTCTCCAGGGACCCAGGCACCTCCCTTTCAGGCCCAGGGCAGACCGGAGGGAAATGTGGGGCAAGCATTGAATGAGGAGGGGAGGGCTTATGGCGAGCACTCCAGCAAGAGAGGAGTGTTCACGCTCTGTGCCGAGGCTCTGCTCTGGCCCCTGCTGACGCTGCCTGAATCTGGGAGGACACCACTACAACGAGGGCTGTGAAGAAGAAAAGAGGTCTAGCATTCCGTATCCTCAGCTGCCGCTTCCTGGTGAGACAGGTGGAGCAGGGCCTTTGATCACTGACTGGTGTGGTCAAACATTTCCTAGGTGCCACAGGTGAAAAGTGGGTATGACAAGAGTGGTGGCTTTGATCTGAAGTCTTGCCTTGTACTCCCTGCCTGACTGCCTGAACTTCAGATCTGGCCAACGGCAGCTGGTCGGGGAGTCTAGGCTGGGTAGCCGGGCATGATTGTGTTGAGCCACCATAGGGCAGAACTCGCTCATGTCACCTGCAATCACCTGCAACCATTCCATGGGCTTTATCCTCCATAAATAAGGTTGGAGGTGTTCAAAGTGGGGGTGGTACAGTGCAGGGACCATGCCAAGGGGGAGTCTGTCTGATATCTTTGGGGAAAAGAGAGGTAGGGCGTTGAAAGGGTGGACATGGTGGGGGCTTCACCTTAGAGATTCCTTTTCTGTCAGAGTGTTCTCTATTCCTAAAAGCTTCTCTGTGCCTCAGAACTCTGGCCTGTTCTCCCTGGGACTCCCATCTGCTAAGACAGTGCCTTTGGCGATTCTGCGAGGGCCTTAGTGAGGAGGCCAGTGGTATCAGGGAAGTCACAGGTGTTGGGTAGGTGATGTCAGAAATAGCCACTGTTTTTTCCTCTGCAGACACTTGAAAAATTAATCAGGGAGAAATCCAGGTGGAAATTATTTATCATGGAGCCACACTTGTCTGTCTTGTTTATGACAAACCCAAATGAGGATTGGAAGGACTGACAGCAGGTAACAGCTCCCTAAGCTCAGACTAGAGGTCTCTTCACCCTCTCCCCATGCCAGCTTCTAGGATTAAGTTTAGAGCCTGGCCTAGGGGGTTGCTTGCACCAAATCTGTATGTGTCAGGTGAAACACACTATTCTACTCTCCCCACAGTGCCACACTGGGTGAATGTCCATCCTTTTTTAGAAACAAGCCCCCCTCACCACTCCTTTCCATCATGTTTTCAGGGAAATAATCCTACTTGCCCAGCACCTCCCCTCCCTGGTCCTTGTTGTAGGGTGGGGAGAACAGATTTATTCTCTGAGCCTTGCGAACTTAAACTGGAGGCCATGAGGTGTCAGGTCATCGGTGGCTGTGCCAAGATGCTGATGGACCTAGTCTCCAGCCATGCCCCAGGCTCAGAAAAGGCAAGAGGCATGCTGTAGGGTAGGTGGCTTGGGAGGCCCTCTTATGGTCCAGGGCTCTGAGTGGTACGGGTGTGCCTGTCCTTCTGGAGGGTCCTCTCTCTGTTTCTCCCTTTTGTCCCCTAGCCTGGTCCTCTGGGGCCAGTGTACCTTCTGCTGTGCTCATTTATAAACTATGTGTATTTATAGACCTGCTCGCATTGACCGATGTGTCTCTAATTCCCTGAGAGTTTGGTTCAATTGTCCTTGAGTTGTTCCACTATGGCGTTAGCCTTTGAAAATATTTTTAATTAAAAAAAGCTGATTTTTCTAGTGTCCTGTGGTATGGAAAGTTTATTTTTACTTTTTGATTACTCACTAAAGGTACCCTTTCTGATGGAGCCCAAGTCATTCCCAGAATCCCAAGTATTCTGCAAGCAAGTCTGTAGGACTTTAGCTTGGCTGACTCATACTTCAGGCATATGGTGAAGGATAAGAATGATCAACAGCAAAGCACTACAGCCTTTTGTCTCTGTTTGGGGGACACAGAATGCTTCCCCGTTTCTCCTGGGCAAATCTAAAGCAATGTCCCTGGTTTAAATAGTCCTGTGCTTCTAACTCAGGAAGTAAAGTCTGGAACTCAGCACCAGAAAACTCCTGTGGCCTCTTCTATGACATTGAGCCTAGATTAGGCGGGTTGAATCCCAATTTGGATCACGTCACCTTGCTTTCTCCCTAGATGCCCCCTCTAGTAGGGATGCACTTGTTCAGTAAATATTGAACCCAGACTGTGTACCAGGTACTATGCTAGACACTGGGGCTGTAGCAGTGACCATGTCAGGCAGAACCTCTCAATCTGCACGGCACCTGTGTTCCGTGTAAATATAAGTGCTAAGAAAATATGTAAACCAACAAGGTAATTGCAAATTGTGATTAAGATCCATGAGGGAAAGAAACAGTGACAAATAGGAGATAAATAGGGAGATGGCTTGAGATGGGTAGGCAACGAAGGTTCTCTGAAGTGACATTTAAGCTGGTACTTAAAAGATGAGGAGCCAGTCGTGGGAGGAGCTGGGACAAGAGCATTCCTGGCAAATGGCTTAGCGACTGCAAAAGGTAGGAAAAATCTGAGGAACAGAGAGACCATCTGCGTGACTCTGGGATACTCATCAAGTGAGAGTGACCTGAAAAGAGGTTGAAGAGGCCAACTCAACAACAAAAAACAAACAGCCCTATTTAAAAAGGGGCAAAGGGCTTGAATAGATATTTCTCCAAAGAGTATATAAATGGCAAATAAGCACATGAAAAGATGCTTAGCATCACCAATCATTAGGGAAATGCAAATCAAAACCACAAGCAGATACCACTTCACGCCCATTAGGATGGCTACCGTCAAAGCAACAGACAACAAGAAGTGTTTGAGAAGATATGGAAAGATTGGAAATCGTATGTTCTGTTGGTGGGAATATAAAGTGGAGCAGCCACTGTGGAAACAGTATGGCAGCTCTTTGAAAATTTAAAATAGAACTACCATATGATCCAGTAATACCACTTCTAGGTGTATACCCAAAAGTATTGAAAACAAGGTCTCAAAGAGCTATCTGTATATCCATGTTCATAGCAGCATTATTCACAATAGTCGAAAGGTGGAAGCAACCCAACTGTCTACTGATGAATGGATAAACAAAATGTGGTATGTATATACGATGGAATATTCTTCAGCCTTAAAAAAGGACATTTTGTCACATGCCACAACATGGATGAACCATGAGGACATTATCCTAAATGAAATAAGCCAGACGCAAAGATAAATACTGTGTGATTTCACCTTTATGAGATACCTAGAGTAGTCAAATTCATAGAGACAGTAGAGTGCTGGTTGCCAGGGGTTGGGGAGGGGAAGGAATGAAGAGTGATTGTTTAACGGGTAGAGTTTCAGTTTCGCAAGATTAAAAGAGTTCTGGAGATGGATGGTAGTGATTGTCACACAACATTGTACTTCACACTATGAAACTGTGCATTTAAAAGTGGTTAAGATAAATTTTGTGTATTTTACAATTTAAGAAAAACAGGTTGGAGAGGCAGGCAGGAGAAGGGAGTTAAGGTTTCGCACAATCCTTGGGTACTGCAGCTCTGATCTGAAGGCTCAGTGGCTGCTGAAACCCAAGTGCTCTCCTTTGCTGAAGGAAATCAGCACACGGATGTAACGTGCAGGACGGTATGCCTGGTAACATTCCTCCTTTTCACTGTTTCCAGGAACTGGTTCAGCATCACAGAGAGGACATATACTTTTGTGTTTTTTAAGTTGAAATGAGCTAAATTTATGAGGGAGAAATAACTGCCTTAAATGTGGAGAAACAGTTGGGAAAATATAGATATATATATAAAATGAGGGATCCTCAATTTTGCAACATGGCCTGTAGCTAGGTGTGAGGAAGGGTCGTGAGAGGGCAGGAGTTCTAGTGAAAAGGGCATTCAGGAATGAAGGAAGCTCTAGGAAAACTGCATCCGCCTCACTGCCCCCACCCAGGCACCCAGCCAGCCAGCCCTGGCCCTCCTACCTACTGGCCATGGCGTTAGGATGCTTATCAATCTGGGTAAGGCCGGGAATCTGTGCTGCTACTCCTACAGGCTGGGCCGCAGAATCAGTGTGTCCTAGGGCAGAGAGGCTTCTCAGAGAAGGCTCTCTGGTTTGCCTCAAGCCAGGGCTGAGGACAGATCCCCCAGGCCGGTCAATCTGAGAGGAAGAGATGCCAATGAGGCCACTAGGTGGCAGCAAAGTCCAGCAGGAACTGGAGCCTGGGCCGGGATGAAGAGACTTCATTCTTCTTTCTCAAAGAAACACCCCCACTGCCCTTTCCTGGGTTGAAAATGGGCTCA